GGCCGGCGTTGACAGGCGGCCTCGTGGGGAGAGGGCGCGGGGTGCACCTCGCTTCAGCTGCGCAGCCGCCCTCCTTGCCAGGTTGGCTCTTGTGCATCATGCGGCGCCCACTTCCCAAACCCCCACACACATGTCCCGCGCTGCAGTGTTGAATCATCTTCACCCCGCCCCTCTGCCACCCCCACCCTCCACCCGTCCCCCGGGCAGCTGCGCGCCGAGTACGTCTCTGTCGTGAGCCGCGTGCTGGCGGCGCACTTCAAGACGTACCTCCTGGCGATGGAGAAGATGGCGGCACCCGTGGCCGGCCAGGGGGACGTGCTGGGCGTGCTGCCCGAGGGCGCGGGCGGCGGCGGCGCGATGGGGCAGTTTGGCGGCAGCGTGATGAGCGCGATGAGCGGCGCGATGGGGTTGTTTGGGAAGGCGCAGGGCAGGGCCACATCGGTGAGCAGCCAGGGGTCAGGGGCAAGGGTGCACACATGCACCGGTGGTTGCTCTTGGCCTGATGCCGTTGGCGGCACCCTTAGCACAATCAAAGGGGTGGCGGCGTGCGCGGCACGGACCTGTGGCTGGCGCTGCCTTGCCGTAGGACGTGTATTTGGCATGCACGTGTCCTCAGCTGCCCGCGTATGCTGCCCTGACCCCACGGCCCCCAGGAGCACACGTTTGAGCTGGGGGAGCGCGCGGCGGTGCTGAGCCAGGTGGAGCAGCCGGCCATCATACCCCACGTGGCCGAGGTGGAGGGCAAGAAGTTCCCCTACGAGGTGCGTGCGTGCCAGTGCGCGTGTGTGCGCGTGCATGTGTGTGTGAGAGTGTGTGTGTGTGTGTGTTGCTTGCGCGTGCGCATGCGCGTGCGTGTGTGTGTGTGTGAGTGTGTTGGGGAATTGTGGGTATGGGTGTGGGTGCATACGCGGGTGTGGGTGGTTGAGTGTGTTTGTATTGGGCCTGGGTTTATGAAAGTTGCATGTCAGGCAAGAACAGGAGTTTCCCTTGAGGTGTGGCCACCTCTATGCGGCCGACATGTGAATGGTTCAGACCGATCGCACGGCGCCACACTGCTCACCCCCAACCCCCCCACCCTTGACAACCCCTGCGCCAGGTCATCTTCCGCAACGTCCACAAGCTGCTGGCCGACACCGCCTCCAGCGAGTTCCTCTTCTGCCTCGACTTTTGGGAGGACGAGCCGCTGTTCAGGGAGCTGCTGGCCCCCATCGTGGCCGTGGTGGAGGGCGACCTCGCGTCGCAGCTGCAGGCAAGCCCCACCCCCCGCGCAGCTGGGCAGGGTTTGGTCACGGGGCAGAGCTTCAGAGCACGCACTAGGGGGATGCCTCCCACAAGCGACGCTTGTACCCCGAGGCGTGTCGCGTCACTCTATCCTATTTTGATCAAGAGGCGCAGCAGCATACATTTAACTTCGCTCGACGCGACGCCTCTTTGTACGCCACGTCAGCAAATCCCCCCGCCCTGATCCTTTGCGAAACCCCTGCAGGAGCAGTGGGACGCGGTGGGCGTGCTGCTCATGATCCGCATCAACGCGGAGCACCGGCGTCTGATGAGCAAGCGGCGCGTGCCCTGCCTGGATGACTACCTCGACCGCGTCAACCTGCTGCTGTGGCCGCGCTTCAAGGTGAGCGGGGGAAGGGGGGGCTCACGCACACGGCACGCCGATGCGCTCCGCAAGTCACGCGGCCGCCGCAGCTTCGCTTGTCCGCTCATGCGTTCAGCCTCGATGTGCGGATCGCCGGCCTGCTTCTCCTCCCCTTGGCTTCCAGCCTGAGCCGGTCACTCAACCCTCTCTCAACCGCACCCAACCGCTCCCAATTGCCCCCAACCGCCCCCAACCGCACCCAACCGCCCCCAACCGCCACCGCCCCCCCCAGGTGCTGTGGGACCTGCAGTACGCCAGCATCCGTGCGGGGGCGGAGCGCCAGCTGTTCACGGGGGAGGCCGCGCCGCACGCGACCGTCAGGCGCTACGCCGCGCTCACCGCGAGCGTGCTGCGGCTGATGGCGCACCACGACGAGGAGGACGGTGCGCTGCCATCAACACCCCCCTCTCCTTTCCTGCATCCCCCCCCCCAAAAAAGCGCTGCCATTGCCGCTGTCACATGTTGCGTTAGCCTTGTCTGTGGCCCCTCCAGCGTGCGGCTGCCTGCTTCGAGGGCTGCGCCAGCTTGGCGGCCCCCGCTTCGCGTGCCCTCACAGGTGTCCGCAGGCGCGCAGCTCTGCCCTCCGTTGTCATTTAAACCTCTGGCTGTGCAAGGTCCCCGACCCTGACCCCCCTGTCTCTCCAATGCCTGAACCCCTGGATCCCCCCTCCCCTCACACACACACAGGCGTCTTCAAGGCATCGGCCTTCCAGGAGATGCTGGACCGCATGTGGGCGGCGGTGTTCGACCTGCTGCTGCGCATGTCCAACATGTTCAAGGACAGGCGCCAGGGCATCATATTCCTGATACTCAACTACCACCACATCGGCGCCGCCTGGAGCACCGCCGACGGCGGCGGCGCGCGGGGCGGCGGCGGCGAGGGCGGGCCGTCGTCGCCGGGGGGTGGGGGCGGAGGCGGCGGGGGCCTGGGGCTGTACGGGGCGGCGGCTCTCAAGGAGTGCGAGGTGCGGCGCGGGGCGCTGAGGCGAAGCGCTGTGCTGGGATCGGGAGTGGTTGCTTGCCGCAATTCAATTGAGGGGGGTTGTGTGCGCGCGTGTATGTTTATGTGTGTGTGTGTGTGTGTGTGTGTGTGTGTGTGTGTGTGTGTGTGTGTGTGCGCGCGCGCGTGTGTGCGTGCGTGCACATGTCAGTATGCAGTGCTGCCCTGGCTTCTACCTCGCATCGTATCATGTTCACGTTGCTGCACTCCCTTGGACCCAGCTTCCCCTACACATGGGCCTGCCTTCCTGCCTTCCCCAACCCACCTATACACCCGCTGCCTCCCACCACCGAGACCAACATCAACACCAACACCAACACCGCGCTACCCCCAGGACCAGCTGTCCAATTGTGTGGGCCTGTACGTGGAGGACCAGCTGGGGCAGCACTTCAAGGACCTGGTCGACTTTGTGAAGAAGGCGGAGCAGCAGCAGAAGCGCACCGCGGCGCCAGAGGGGCAGCCCATCCCCGGGTACGGCCCAAAGGAGTCGGCGCCGGTGCTGCGCGACTTTGCGCTGCGGTGGAAGGCCGCCATCGGCGGCATGCACCAGGAGGTAGGCGGGGCGGCCTGCTCCCAGATGCGGGCCAAGCTGGCTTGCCTCATGCGGCGTGTTTCTGCGTTGGCGTCAGAGCAGGTGTGCGCTGTGCAGCGGCTCTCCTTACAGCATGGTTGCGTTCGATACACGCCCCGACTTTCCACATGTTGAGAGCGCACCGCCGCTTGCCAGTGAAGCGGACCCCCTCCCCCCCTCGTGCCCCCACCCTTTGACCTCCCTCAGGTCGGGCGGCAGCTGTCTGACGAGGCGGTAGCGCGGGACGTGCTGCAGGCTTCCATGACGCAGCTGCTGCTGTACTACACACGCATGCTCGAGCTGCTCAAGCGGCAGGGGCCCGAGGGGACCGCGCTGGCGCGCGAGGCGGTCAACATCCCGGCCATCATGTATGAAATCAAGGGGTTCCGAAAGGTGTAACAACTGCCACTCAAATTCAGCGGCCCTTGGCTAGCATGAGACTGCCGGGTCAGTCGGGGTTGCAAGGCAAGCAGCAAGCATCCACGAGGGTCGGTTGCAGCGGCAGTTGGGCTTGCTTACATATCAGCTGAACCAGATATGGCTGGTAGTGGCACCATGCAGCGCCACGGCACACCTCTCATACAACGGCGCCTTCATGCAGTGCTTACTGGCAGTGTGTGGAACAACACTGTTGCTTGCGCGTGGCTTTGCTCCCCAGCACAGCCCACTGCAGTCAAACGTGGCGACTGCCGTCAATTCCCAAGGTCGGCAAGGTTGTCCAGAAGCTGGCTGTCTTGTGAACCGTCACCACATATATGCCTTGTAGCGAGTGAGGCATGCATATGGTTGTGCACGAACTCTTACCCATTCGCAAGATCCGAGACAGTCCGTCAAGGTCATCTTCGGTCGACACGGGAGTGCAGACCTGGAGGCCCGGATTAAGCGAAACACGCGCTTAGGAACTCCTCATGAAGACCAACGCGTTGTTCCTGGCGCTGGCCCTAGCGGCGACGGCATGCGTTTCGCGGCGCACCGCTGCGGTGGTCATCGGAGTGCCTACCAGCAGTGAAACGATGTTGTAAGTGGCTGGCATCAATTCAGGTTGCACAGCTTGCGTTGTCTACTGTGCCGTGCGTAATGACTCAGTTACATGCCCCTTTGCGCTGTATCCGGATGTTCTGCCCCAATCCTCAACCCCTCCCACCCAACGCAGGGCGCACCCGCTGCGCAAGCTACACGAGGCCGTTCAGACCACATTCCCAGGCGCCTCATCAGCTGCCGCCCCCTGCAATTCGGCACCAGAGACGGGCCTGTGCCGGGGCGCCATCCCCCGCTGGTTCTGGAGCGAGGCCAGTGGCCGATGCCAGCAGTTCACCTTCGGCGGCTGCGGGGGCAACGCCAACAACTTCGAAACTGAGGCCGCGTGTGAGGCAGCCTGTGCTCCGGGGCCGCCATTGCAGGTGCAGGTGTTACCGTCAGCACCGGCCAGCACGGAAAAGGCAGCACCACTGTCCAACGGGGCAGATGGCGGGTGGAGCGGAGCACAGGGCCTGCTCACGTGCTCTATCGCGGCTGCGGTGCTGCTGCTGCAAGCTTGAAGCAAATTGCTGCAAGCAATTGAAGCAACTTGAAATTCAACTTACAGCGGCATTGCAATACAGCTTTAACATAGTCTCATGCACAGCGTGATGGTTGCTTTATGTGTTTTTGAGTGATGGTTTGTTTGCAGTTGCACTGGAGATGCCCACATAAGGACACGAGTAAACTCCATGTGAGACATGACAGGTGTCCAATAGGCAATACAAGTGCCCATACTCCCGTTGCGCAGCTCGTGCATCGCGATGTTGCGCATGTGTCGAGGTTGGCTGCAGCCCAGGCCACGAAGGAAACATGAGCAGTGGGTGTGCTGCTAGGTCCCGCCGCCGAGAAGCAGTCAAACAGCGTACTGTACTTGATAGATGCGTAAAGCATTGAAAGATTGATCACGTAGTATGCTGCAAGAGTCATCAAGCACGCAGCAGCACACAACAGCACAAGCACGCACCATAGTCAAGTGTCATAGCAGGACCTGCATGAGCATGGCGGGCCCGATATAGCAGTGTCAGAGACGCACCTCTCATTGTCACATTGTCGCATATAGTGCGAGGCTTTGAACAGAGATCGACGGGCGGCGACCGATTGATCGCAGCGCTGTGGACGGTTGTTAGGCTTTTTACGAGCACAGCCATGCCATATACGAGCAACCGCGCAGCCTAAGGGAGCTGGTGTGGCGAAGCGCGGCGGCGGCAGCAACACCGCTGCCAACATCAGCAGCAGCCGCCGGTCCATGCTGCACGTGCGGCAACATTTGCACCGTCCCGGCGCTCGATGCTCCAATGCTGCCAGCACCTCCAAACCAAGGTGTGTATGTCAGTAGTGACTTGCATGTCCCTAGTGGACACGTCCAAGGTGTGTGGAACCTGATGTACGGCTCTAGGCCTCAGGTTGCCAATCCGCTGCTATTGCAGGGCGCCAGTCCCCGCAAGCATGTGCGGGCAGCAGCCGTGCAGCAGCCGCAGTTGTGGGGCCAGTGGCAGGCCAAGCAGCGCATACTGCAGCTGCGACGGCAACTCGCAGCTGCGGCCACTGCAGATGGGGCTGGCAGTATTGGCGCTAGCGGCTCAGTCGACCCGCTCTCTTCAGTCACTTCCGGAGTTGCAGGCAGCCGCAGCAGCGGCGCTGGTGCGCGTGTCGAGTCAGGAGTTGCATGCAACGGCTTCAGCGCTGCCGGGCTGCGGGGCGGCTTGGGAGGAGCGGTTGGTCGCGGCACTGCCTACGAAGGCTGGACGCAGGCCGGCGCGGCTTGGCCGGCGCGCACCGGTCTACAGCAGCAGCGGCAGTGCCAGCAGCCATCTTTTTGGGAGCAGCAGCCGCATCATGCCTGGCAGCAGCAGCAGCAACAAGATTGGAGGCATCAGGACGGTGCACAGGACGAGCAGAAAAACCAACAGCAGCGGCCGGGCGCATCTGCATACATGCCGCACCTGCAGCAGCCGGGGCGCTTGGAGCAAAGCGGCACGAGCATTTGCGGCAGCGGCCATCTCCCACAAGCGAGCGCGAGACGGCGGGCGGAGCAGCGGCGACACCACCATGAGCAGTCTTTGCGGTGGCAAGCGCAGCAGCAGCCACCGCAGCATTCGCACGATCAGCAGCGCCGTCGCGCGGAGCGGGAACAGCAGCCATCAGAGCAGGAGGGCCTGGGGTCGACACCGGGGCAGCAGCAGACTGGTGAGAGTGCACTAGAGGCGGAGATATGGACCTGCCGTGATCTGGGGGAGCTGCTGCTGCTGCTGGAGGCCCGTGCAGACGAGGTATGCACCGATGACGGCGACCGCAGCAGCTGCGACGCTGGCAGGAGCGGCGCTGACGCTCCTGAAAACAGACGCGAGGGCAACAGCAGCACGGGCACGCCTGCCCCGCTGCTTGCGGCGCTCGGCGCCATAGCGTCGCTTGCGCGGCATCGCGCGCAAGGGCTGCTCTCCTCGGAGCGCGCCGCTCTGCGGCAGCTGCTGCTCCGGCGCCTCCTGCCCGCGCTGCGAGGGCGCGAGCGCGAGGGTGGCGCCGCCGCCGCAGCGCGCGCCCTTTCTGCATGCGCGTGCGGCGGCATCTCGGCGGCAGAGCTGCCGCGGCAGCAGCTAGCAGCCCTCATGGCAGCGGCGGGGGACCCCTACCAGCTCACGCCGCGCGCCGTCGGCGCGCTGCTGCCCGCCCTAGCGGCCACCGGCCACGACCCGGGCCCGCTCTGGCTCGCGGCGGCCTCGGCGGCGCTGCACTTCCGCCGCGAGGCGGCGCACCGCCGCGACGTCGTGGCGGCGCTGTCGGCGCTCGCGGCGCTGCGCCACGCGCCGGCGCCGGCCGTCGTCTCGGACCTGCTGGCACGCCTGCAGGGCAGCCGCGAGAACGTGTCGCGCCTGCGGGGCGCCGAGCTCGTTGAGCTGCTCGCAGCGCTGAAGCGCATGCGGTACCGGCCGTCGAGGACGTTCCTGCGTCTGCTCATGGAGGCAGCCGTCGAGAAGCTGCCCCGCATGACCGCCGCGCAGCTGGCGGCGCTGCTGCGCGGCTTGTCGTGGGCGGGTGCGCGGCCGGGCGCGGCGTGGGGGCGGGAGTTTGTGCGACGCAGCTGGGCGGTGCTCCCGGGCGCGGGGCCGGGCGCGCTGGCGGACCTGCTGCACTTTGCGCTGCTGCTGCGGCTGCAGCCGCATCCGCGGTGGGCGCACGACTGCCTGGCGCTGCTGCGGGACGCGCAGCGCACCGCGCTGTCGCAGCGGCGGGTTGCAATGCGCACACGTACGGCGGCGGATGAGGCGGCCCACACAGCAGCAGCGGGACCGGACAGTTTGCAGCAGCAGCAGCAGCAGCAGCAGCAGCAGCAGCTGGCGCAGCAGCCGACGCCGCCGGAGGACTCGCATCAGCAGCATTGGCGTTGGCCCGACGATTGCGACGGCAGCGGCAGCCGCGACGTACCTGGCGCGCCGCCCCTGCTGACGCCGCACCAGATCGCGCTGTCCGCCCACGCGCTGGCGCTGCTGCCCCAGGGCGGCCATGTGGCGGCCAGCCACCGGCAGTTCCTGTGCGCTTGCATCGGCGCTCTGCAACCGCGGGCGGCGCAGCTGCCGCTGCGGGAGCTGTCATACCTTCTGTACGCGGTGGGGCGGCTGCGCATGGAGGTGCCGCAGGGTTGGCTCCAGGAGGCGCTCGAGCAGGTGCATTTGCTCACTGCTCGGGGGCCTGTGGCAGGTGAACCGCGCATGCCGCAGCTGCAGCATCGCCATCAGCAGCAAGAGCGGCAGCAGCAGCAGCAGGAGCAGCAGCATCAGCAGGTGGTGATGGGAAAGCAGCAGCAGGCGCCGCCGCCCAGACAGCAGCGAGGGCGCTCACGCCTGGCGCAAGCGGCGGACGAAGACGCGCCGGCAGCGGAGGAGCTCGCGGCTGCGTTTTCCCTCATGGCCCACTTTTCGGCCGCCGCGGAGCCCCAGTGGGTGCACGGTGCGCTGGAGGCCACAGCCGCGGTCCGGCACCAGCTCAGCGATGAGGCCCTGGTGCATACGCTGGTCGGCTGCGCTGCGCTGGAGCTCAGCACCAACCCGCCCCCTGACAGGGCCCGAGCGGCCGCTGCTGACCCCAGCGGCAGCGCCAGCGGCGGCGCAGGCGCGGCGGCGGCGCTGCTCCGGCTCATGTCCGCACGGCTTGCGTCGCAGGCAGCCGCGCGCGACATGGTGCGGCTGTCCAAGGTGGCGCGGCTGCTGCAGGCGCACTGGCAGCGCGGGTTCCCTGCCTGGTACCACGACCTGCAGGAGCAGGCGCGCCAGGCGCTGGCGAGCTGCGCCTCTGATGCAGCCAGCCAGCCGGCGCGGCGGTTCGTCGGCCGCGCGCCTGACACGCGTGGCTTGTGACCCGTGTGGCTGCGAGCTGCTTGCCCCTGCAGGCATGTATCGTGGTGCTTTGGTGTTGTTTCGCGTTGGTCATCTTTCTTGTAATCTTTCCCTTTCGCCTCAAGGTCACGGGTTGCAGTTGTGCGACCCCTCGGTTGCCGCAATTCGTCAAACGGGGAAGCAGGTGACACAGTTACAGACACTCTGGTGCCCTCAAGCTCCCAGCAGCATGCGACCAAGGCCAGCGTTGCACACAGACTGAGTGCACCGTTCGTTGGCCACAAGCCCCACTACGCCTGCCAGCAAGAGGCAGGAGACCAGCAGGGGGCTCCAAAGTCGGGCAGCCATCGTTGACGCTCGCAGCAGCACCACGGCTCTGCTCAGAAGCTGCGCCCCGTCTTGAGCACGCCGCCTGTGAGGCGGTCGACGAAGCCGAGGTCCTCCAGCTGCCGCACCACGCCCGGGGGGGTGGTGTAGTCGGTGCCGCCATCGCCGCGAATGATGCCGTCGATGAGCCCGGCCTGGGGAGAGAGGGGGCGAACGGTACAGGACGTGTAGCAGGTGCATTCGTTGCGAGGAGGAGGGAACGCAGGAGGACATTGAGAGTAGCAGACAGGCAGCAGCTGTCATCACATGTGAACACCGGCAGGGCCATAGAACTTGCGGCGGGGCTCAGCCGACGGACCTTGAGGCAATGTCAGCGCTCGCAGCTTGCCCTCCCCTGCCCCTTGCTGCCTGCGGCCCCGGCGCCCCTGCTCGGGCTGAGGCGCCCCTGTGCGCCTGCCCACCGACAAGCAATGCAAACGCCCAGACCTGCTGTGCCTCCTCTGGTGTCATGAAGGTGTCCCTGTTGGTGGCGCGCTCAATCTCGTCGGCAGTCATGCCCGTAAATTTGATGTAGTAGCGGGCGATGAGCTGTGAGGGGCACATGGGGGCGGGCATTGGCAGAGGTGGCGGCCGCGGATGAGGTGGCAGTGGTTCAGCGTGGTGTGTGGGTGCTCGGCCCCACCCGCAAGGAACACATGTGGGACTAACAGCACTCCTCTTAGCGTGGCACAAGCCATACAACAAAACTGCACTGGGGCCCCGGCGCTGCGTGCATCCCCCAGGGCTAACAGGGCCCCCTCCCTTACCTGGTAGATGGCGTTGAGCTCCGCCACAGTCGCTGCGATCTGGTAAATGTCACCCTGGGAGCCGCCTGGCAGCATGGAAGGATGCGGCAGCCGAGTTCAAGAGGACCTCTAAGAATGTGCGGCTTGTGGGCATTGAGGCCCGAGGCTTGTGGGTCAATCGCCGAGCGGCAGCTCAGTGCGTGCACAGCGGAGCGGCTGTGCCGATCGGACGAGCACAACAGTGTTGCCGATCCAGCCCCCTGCCTTACCCATGGGCTGGGTCATCATGATGCGCGTGTTTTTCATGCTGTACCGCCGGCATTTGGTGCCCGCAGCCTGCAAAGAGGGCAGTACAACCCAGCAGCCAGTGAAACGGTAAAGATGACCGCACAGGCTTTTGCAGTTACGTACAACACACAATTTCACGCATCCACAGGTGCAGCGCCGCGGCGCAAGCCGCCAATACAGTGAATGCGCACGTCAAAGTAGCAAAGGCACACGCACCACAAGCAGGCTGGCGTAGCTGTAGCAGGCGCCGAGGGTGACCGTCTTGATGGGCGGCTTGATGGACTGCATGGTGTCGACGACGCCGATGATGGAGTAGGGCTGGCCGCCAGGGGAGTTGATGTACACGCGGATCTCCTCCTCCTCGTCGAGCGCCTCGAGGGCTAGCAGGCTGCCCACAATCTGGGTCGCAAGCTGTACGTGCAAGTGTGGGGGTCCAAAAGGGAGGGCCGGGCGGGGGGGTGCATGAGCTTGAGTGCAAACGGTGAGAGTACTTCGTATTGTTGGTGCTGCTGCTGCTGCTGCTGCTGCTGCTGCTGCTGCTGCTGCTGCTGCTGCTGCTGCTGCTGCTGCTGCTGCTGCTGCAGACACTGATGGTGTTGATGTGGTATGTGGGAACAGACATTGGCAGTATGATTGCCGCTGGTGGCGCCGATGCTGTGGCTGCGAGGGTGGTGCTGCCGCTGCTTCACAGCAATTGTGCTGGATCATATCGCAGCTTTTCGGGTGTGCAACGTTTTGCAGCAGCATCGATTGCGTTGGTCATTCGCCGTGCCAGCCCCAACCAGCCAAACATTTGCAAGCGACATCAAAAATTGCGGCCGCATTATGCAGCTAAAAGCCTGCCGCATGCTGCGCCTTGCCGCGCCGTGCGCCACACGCAACTGCCGCACCTTGTCATTGACGTATCCTGATAGGAAGATGATGCGCTGCCGCAGGAGGTAATTGTACAGGTCCATGAACGACTGCATGGTGCAGGGTCGTTGGGCAGTGGTGTTGTAGACGGGTGCGACACACGGAGTGCCGACACATGCAGCGGCAGTGAGGGGTGCGCATGAGGACTGTCAACATCCTTCCTTTGATTTTCACTGCCTGCACGTATTTTCAAGCAGAAATCAAGCTGGAAACAATTTGCTCCTGGGCCTCCTGGCTTTCTCCGGGGGCGCCAACAGAACGCTGGCTGCTGCGGCATTGGCAAGGGGCTACGCACCTGGTCCTCGCCGCTGCCGATGGCGATGTCCGGCGCGATGACTGGCGAGCGCCGCTGAGCATTCAAAGGCTCCAGTCGCCTCCTGCATGGGCAGTGCCAGAACCAATTGGCTCCTTCTCCCGCAGCTGCTGACTAAGGCCTAGATCACCAAGTGCGTGTCCTGCCGGACTTACCTGCTGCTGCTACGGTCGCCTGGTAGAGCCAGAGCAACCTGCTTGTGCTGCATTTGATGCTGCTGCCGCCCTGCATGCGGCAGGAACGCGCTGCATTGGCACGAGGCCCGACGCTTGCTGCCTGGCTGCTGCCCGGCGCTCCGCAGAGCACCGCTCCTGAAGCTGGTCTGCATGGACTTTCCAAGGCAGACTGAACTCTTCTTGCAGTGGGGTGTTTTGCGACGTGGGCAGATCTGCGAGACCGCAGCAATGTCAGCGCGATGGGCAATTATTGCGTCCACAATGAGGCGAATTTACGCGTGCACCCGAGTCAAGTGACTGGTGAGGACAGCTGGTAGGAGCATGGATACTGCAGCTGCACCACGTGCAGCTACTGGCCTGGACCAGCCCTACGGAGCGGTGTGGTGCAGCAGCAATGCCAATGGCAAGCAATGCCGCTCAACATGCATGCAAGCTGGAATGTGAGGACTGCAGGGTTGCTGTGGCATTTGCCATCAGGATTGGCACACGTTACTGCGCTGTCTCAAGGGGGCGTGCGCTGTCAAGGGGGGCTCAAGCCGCCCCACATGCTAGCCGGCCGACACAGGTGAGACTCGAAAGGCCACAAGCAGGGACCAAAGTGTTACAGGCGCCCTCCTCACTCAGGCCACCTCTGCACTACTGGCTGACCCCCTATTGGCGCCCAAAGCCACACCCACTGCCAACCAGGACCATGCCAGGCGCTGGTGGGGGGCAGCGCGCCAATGTGCAGTCCAGATTATCAACATGAAACATGTCGAGCACAAGTGAAGGGTGGGCCAGGCAGTGGGCACAGATGCGACTCCAATGCGAGAGGCGGACAGGCTCAACCCTTGGCACGCTTGACTCTGCTGCGTGGCAGGCGACTCAACAGGGCCGCGCCACCACCCCAGTGCTGTGGGCACGAAATGCCGCGCACGAGCAATCTCCAGTCTGGCCAACGCCACGTTCATGACAGCGCCCGTAAAACCTGAGGGCCGAGTCAGCCAGGAGTATGCGCCAGTTTAGCCGTCCGCCATTTGCTCGTCCCTCACGCCTGCCCCACCCTCAGCCGACGGGCCCTCTGCAGTGGGCAAGGGTGTCGCGGTGCCGCTCGCGGGGCCAGGCTGCTCCTCATCAACAGGAGGGGGCCTGCCCTCGTCGGCGCCCGCGACAGGCACTGCGCCGTCCGTCTCCATGGCCTGCGGCTCCGCCGAGTGGTGCTGCTGCTGCGGCTCCGCATCCTGCTCCTGCTGCTCCTGCGCCTGGTGCTGCAGCTCCAGCTCCCCGTGGTGCAGCTGCGGCGCATGTTCCTGCTTCACTTCCTCATGCTGCTGCTGCTGCTGCTGCTGCTGCTGCTGGTGGTGGTGGTGGTGTTGCTGCTGCTGCTGCTGCCCCTCAGCCTCTGGCTCATCCTTGGTCACGGCAGGTGCATCGCTCCTTGCCGCGTCGTCCGCTGCGGCGGGCGCAGCCTCTGCGGCCACGGGTGCCTCGACGCCTGCTGCAGCCGCCTTCTCCTCGCTGGCGGGGGCCGCGATCTCTGTGGTCGGCGCCGCAGCGCCCCCCTCCTCACGCTTGACCTGCGGCGCTGGGTCCGCAGCCGCCTCCAGAGGCGCCGCAGCAGCCGCAGGGTCTGAGGGCCTGGCCGCGTCCGCGGCGCCTGCGCTGGCGGCCTCTGCAGCCGGTGGCGGCAGGTCAGAGGGCGTCGCATCCGCCTTGGCGGAGGCATCCGCCGGGGTTGTGAGAGCTGTTTCGAGTCCAACGTGACCATTAGAGCCTGAGGGAGGACATGCGTGGCGGAGAGACATTGATGGGCCGGACGCAGTATGGTATTTTTGAAAATGGCTGGTGTTGTCTCAACCAGTCACATATGCACGACAGACATACAACCTCCCAAACAGGAGCGCTTGAAACCACACACCTGGTGGGTGCTGCTTGTCCGCGACTTGCTGCTGCTGTGAAGGGCGAGGTGCCGAGGGCTCCTCTGGGTGGTGCTGCTGCTGCTGCTGCTGCTGTTGCTCTTGCTGCTGCTGCCCGGCCGCCACGGCCGCCGCAGGAGGCTCAGGGGCTGCCAGCTGAGGTACTGAGGGGAGCGCCGCTGCGACCACAGCCGCCGCTGGTGGCGGCGTTCCCCCCGTCGGCGTGCTGCCCCGCGCCGCTGCACTGCCGATGCCCTGTATGGGCGTCCCCACGCCACTGGCCGGCACCGCGCCTCCAAGCCCCTGCGCCCCGCCACCCAACGAGCCGCCCTGGTTTGGTGCGCCCTTGGTTGCCGGGCCCTGATTGGGCGCGCCGCCCTTGGCCGCTGCGCCGCCCTTGTGCGGCGGCCGCTTGTCGGGCGCCTTGGAGGCAGCGCCCTTGGAGGCGCCGCCCTTCTTGGGCGGGGCAGCGGGCGGCGCAAGCACTGCGTCCACGTACTCCTTCAACTGCCACAGCACCGCGTCTGGCAGTGTATCAATGTCAACTTCCAGCTCGCCGTCCGCATCAGTGGGCGGGTTCTGGGGTTGGCGTGGGGTGGAGGGATCATCGCGGTTGCTTTTGGCAGCGTGTGGCAAATACCTGGGTGCTGGGGTGGATGGGGCCACATGTTGCTGGCCTGATCCAGTCTGGCCTGGTCTGGCCTGGCTGGTTGGGCTGCGTGCTATTTGACTTTCCAGCTGAGAACGCGGCCTGTTCCCAAAACTTCATCCCTGCACCCGCCCGTGTGTGCGCGCGCGCGCGCACCCCCCC